AGCCTTTCTCTACCGTGGTATCATTTCAAAATCTCACAGACCGCTGCTCGCTCAAAAGGACTTGAACTGCACAAGCAGCAATAGTCCATACTCCAAGAACAAAGTTACTCTTATGTATACCCCCTCTACTCGATGGTTTATCCGAGTCGAAGTGCGCCAGCTGTGCTGCGAAGGACGCGGTCCATATACCCATCCAACTGAACCAAAGCCATAGAGACCCGAACCTCAAAAGGTACAGAGGCATACACATGACGATTGGGCTAACCAGGACAAGAAGGAACCGATGGAAGTGACGCCCTCCGACAGTGTAGAATGAGTTGACGTCGATTTTCTGGTCATCGACAATGTCTTGGTAGCTGTAGGCCGTGTTGAGGTAGATGATCCAGAAGAACACCATGAAACAAAGCGGCAAACAATAACCGATGCTGTCGCCAATCGACTCGTACCGACCGTGGATCGCGGATCGACCCAAAACGGCGGGCCATGCAATCGTGAACCCCAAGATGTATTGTGGGTATATGCGAAGCTTCAAAGCCATAGGCCGTTTGCCATACGGGTATAGAGCCGAAGCCAAGATGACTGGGAACATGTGTTGGAATCTGATGACGAACGTTAGAATATCTGTCATGTAACCGTCTGGGAGGAGGAAAACGGGTGGCCATACACATCCTTTCCATTAAGCATATTGTGAACAATGGACAAAGACACAAGCAGCTGCAGCACCATCCACAGCATCGCATCCGTGGTGGTCACGATGCCCGCGGCCAGAGGACGGTCTTTAGTTCGAGTGACCTTGGCATCGATATCACGGTCCACCCAGTCATTCCAAACCATACCGGCGCCACAAAATAGGAAAGCTGCGATGAAGCATAGTGCGGCCTGTTTGAAGACAAAAGCAGGCTGAATATTGCTATTGGGATCGACGAGCTCAGAAGCACCAGCCAACAAAACCGACCAGACTGTACCACTGTGAGCGTTGCGGACCAAGACTCTGGTAAAATCAAAAGACATACCTCCAGCAAAAGTAGTGAAAAGAGGGTTGTACTTGTTGAACCGTGACAGGGTTACCAAGTGCCAGAACAAGGTGACCTTTTCCGGCTTAGGCTTGCCCGTGTATATCTCTTTGCATTGCTTCGTAGATTGCTCAAGCTTGTATAAGGCAATAGCATGTGAGATGCTTTGGTACAACATGTCGACTCGGGGATTAATGACGGCGACGATTCTGGTTTGGCAAAAGGAAAGGCGTTTAATTGAAGGAGCCCACGTTCGAAGGAAGCGGACCGAACGCGCATGTGTGGTTTTAAACCTCTCGGTCTTCAATTCCCCTCCCTCCCCAGCTTTTCTCTCAGCTGTGGACGCGCAGCGTCCGCCTTGATATTTCACCCGCCAAAAGGACCACAAGCTCCGCGCATGCGTCGGTTTCAGATGTGACGTAGTTTGTGCTGTTGAGTTCGTTGTTGCAGGGAAGTTGCTGTAAGGCTTTTGCCGAGGTGAGGAGGTTCACACGTCTCGGCGTGTATGGCATTGATCAAGGCATCTTAGCACTGTCTGTGTGGCTGTAGGAGAGCCCAGTTTGCATGATTTAAGTAACGACACTTTCAGCCCAAAGCTTCTAAATGGGAAGTTCTCAAGAAGACCAACGCAACATTTCTTGCAGAAGAGACTCGGCTTGGAAGCTACTATGAGTTTTTGAGGAAATTTCAAATCAGAATAAGTGTATTCTTTCAACTTCCAAATCCCAACGCCGAAGCCGCCTTGAAGCAGGTGGGCAAGACTTACACAGTACGGCCATAAGCATTCTGGTTCATCTGAATTCTATAACAGCCTAGGTCTCCGCAAGACCGTGCGCGAGCTGGAAAGCTGCTTGACTAGCCCAGCCCATCTAACGTTTCTTTCTCGATCTCCTTCAGCTGATCTGTGGGTCATTCAACGGCAGAAGATGATGAAGCTGGTGAGTCGAGGGATGTTCGTTGCATGAAAAGAACAAGTGGATGTGTTCCTTGATCGACCATCGAACCGGCAATGGAAGGCCCTAATCACTGTCATACACGTAGTCCGACGAGCTAGCAGCATCCTGGTCCGTGCCTACCAATTCACAGCACCTGTGGGCAAAGGCGCCTCATTTTCAGCCGATCGTCGATGACTAGTCGTTCTTCTAGCCACCCCTAAAACCAACGGTCATCGAGTTGATATGAATGTATGATTCACATGACATCTACCGGAGCTTTGCTGACGTGTTTTATCGTGGGTGGCTCTGATCGTTTCTACATATAGAGAATGCGAGCTTTGAGATCCACTCCGAACTTGAAATGGGGGTTGCCAGTTGGGAAGATGCTTGTTTGTGAGACTGTTGGGCAGTGCCTCCCGCTGGCTTCGTCATTCACTAACGCGTAAGAGGCAGGATGTCAACAGTGAGGCTACCAGGGTATGCCTTCTCTGACATTTCCCAAACACATCTTCTCCTCATTGAAAATGGGGATAGGCTTTGCTGAGCTCTTAGCGCGAGCTAATCTTTAGCATAATTCACGTAACATTCAGCAAAGTTCACAACAATTTGAACGAGACATTGCTCACAAAGTTGTTTGCCATGCCACTATTTTTTGCGGAGTCTGCTTATGTGTTGACAGACTTTGCAGCAACAGGGCTTGTGGACGCCGTCGAAAGAGTGTTCGAGCAATCTTGCGGTGTTAAGGCACTGTTGAACTTGTCCTTTTTGCCTGCCTACAGCAGTATATTGACGATGATTCCAATGTATTCGAGTCTAGAGCCATCAAGGCTGGAAAAGATTGAAATTAACAGCTGCTAAATAGTGCCATTGTAAATTCTATCCACCACTAGCTCACATCTCGCTCTTGTTACGACTCACCAAATAGTTCAGACGATAGTCAGATAAGAGGCAAAGTGGCATGCTAGATTTTGGAAAATGACAGTTCGAAGGGTTCTACAGGTTCCAACAAGCGTTTATTGATGAGTTCTCTACCAGTCCCAGTTGAACTTCTATTCCAAGAAATAGATATAGGAGATGTATCTTGGTCTGGTGTTACACATACCATAACTCTCCTACGGGGGGCTGGCTCGCTATGCGCCTTCATCCAGTCAAAAAAGCGACCGGAGAACTTTTAAATCGGCCACAAGGTCATGCTTGTACTTTTTCATACAGAATTACGCGGATTCGAGTAACTGAGTTTGCATTGGTTCACTTACTCTCTCGGGTCCCGGACCGGTTGCTGATGGACTTTAACCCATGACAGATGCAACATAAAGTACTCAATGTGACATCAGCTAGCTACTATTTTGATTCGCACCTAGATTTTACAGCGCAGTTATGAATGAACTAACTACACACAGTCAGTCTTCTAGCTATTGTATAAAAGGAGCTTTACCATCTGCCATCTAATTTAGCTGCTGTACTCTCACCGGATTCGGGCCCCCCGTCCGGAATTTCTGGTGCTTAAGCGTTGGCAAAGATGCACACAGCAGATCAAGATGAACATGTATGCTAACCTTGGAGAGAATGTCTGAAATATTGGCAGAGATCTGGTGAATAACCATCAAATGGTTTACTCACTTTGAAGATAGTGGTCATCCGACAACTCATCTTACCCACTTGAAACCCACAACATCATTCGATGGTATACAACATCACAAGGATCTCAATTTTCCAGCACCTTCAGGTAGTGAAATGGAAGTCTTGTAAGCATAGCCTTAGACTCGGTACTCTCGGCATCGAATTCTCCATTGGCCTGGTCCTGACTGCCTTAACGAACCTAGAGCTGGTCATGACCAATGTGACAGTCGTCATGGACTCGACACTGCAGTGCAGGACGAGCAGGGAAGATCTCGGAGGCATTCGAAGGAAATGGGTCGTTTCTTACTTCCTTATCCTTACTGGCACGTATGTGTTCTTTCCCGGCGTCTTGGCTTGGTGAGCTGATGCGGTTGATTATGGGGTTCAGACTAGATATGCGGTTGCTCAGGTGGATACCAAGGTAAATGCTAACTGAAAATTCTCTAGAGGCATTGCTTGAAATTGACTCGTGGGTTTGACGGTATAGATGGCTATCGGCTACAAGGACACATTCTCGAAGATTGTATGTATATGCCGGCCCATTCCAAGGTTGTGAGTGCCACACATGCAAAGATTCTACGACGTTGTTCTTATCAATCCAACAACGTACTCACGAGCTGGTTTCCAAACCAGCAGTGACTGCCTTGGGCACCAACATTTCTATCTTCTTACACCGGGGAACATCGTGGGCAATGCAGCCGTGGCGGGCGGGGTTCTACGATTCATGTGGGAAGTGATGACAACGACTTGGAGAGTGAATAATAAGGAGTAAAAAGGACCATCGGCATAACGAAGAGCTGCTAGCCTTTCTTGTAGCAGGCGCGAGCCTGATTAAATAACGGAAGACAGCAAGGAACCCGTTGTTGCGGGGGATATTACCAGTAACGGACTAAAACAAAGACGGGGGACGCTGCTATGGTTTAGCTACAAATCATGGGACTAGACAGACTATCCTAGGCACCCATCATAATCACGGCGGACATATGTTTGTTGAAAGCGCTCCGTATGTGACCAAGTCTGCTTGACACGTTCTTAGTCCGACCTAATCGGTTTAAAGTTTCGTGTTCAACTTTTAAACGGCTGCCTATATAAAGTGGACTTCAAATCATGAATCGGGTCGCCCGAGTGCAATTAGGGCCGGCACCATCGTTCCCTTTTTGGGCAATCGCGAAGGAGCCAATCAACAACCGTCGAGTGGACATTGCCGTGTAAGTGCTCCCCGCGGTAACCCACACTGCTGGGTCTTTGATGAATGACGCCAAGATCCACGAGCGACTTTAGGGTCAAAGATAGCAGTCAACATAGATTAGGCTCCAAATTGGGCCCGTGTTGTTACATCTACCTATCTATACACCTAGTCGCACATCTAATAACTAATCGGCCTCTCGGTAACTTCGGTCATAGGACAAACGAAATCCATGCTCGACTTTCCTTACTGCTGGGATGCAGTTTCCGAAGACTCTCCTTCCTTCTCCACCTTTTCAATATTCTTCTTCTCAGTGGTGGTCTGTTTCTCCCACATGGCATGGTATCGGCCTCCGAGCGCCAACAGCTCGGCGTGCGTGCCACGCTCAACGACATTTCCCTTGTGGAGCACCACGATCTGATCGGATTTGGTGATGGTGGAGAGCCGGTGGGCGATGGTGATCGTCGTACGACCCGCAGTGACACGCTCCAGGGCGTCTTGGATCTGCCTCTCGGTGTGCGAGTCCAGAGATGCCGTGGCCTCGTCAAGCAACAAGATGCGGGCGTCCTTCAGAATCGCTCTCGCGATGGCAATTCTCTGTCGCTCGCCTCCGGAGAGTTTGAGTCCGCGTTCTCCGACCTTAGTGTCGTATCCATCGGGAAATGCGAGAATGCGATCGTGGATATTGGCAGCCTTGCATGCCTCGTATACGTCGGCTTGAGAGGCATTCCGGTCGGCGTAGAGCAGGTTGTACATGATAGTCGCATTGAAAAGTACAGTGTCCTGAGGCACAACGCCAATGTTCTTCCGTAGGCTGTCAAGCTTCAGATCCTTCAAGTCGTGACCGTCGACAGTGATTGATCCTTCATTGATATCGTAGAAGCGGAAAAGAAGCTTCAGGCAGGTTGACTTGCCGCTGCCAGACTCTCCAACAATGGCGGTCTTGGTGCCCGGGGCAACAGTGAAGCTGACACCGTTGATCGCGGGTTCGCCCTTCTTGCTCTGGTAAGAGAATTTGACGTGGTTGAATGCGACCTCTCCCTTGACGGCGGGCAGGGTGACGGCGTCGGGCTTCTCCACAATGCCAGACGTTTCTTTGAACTAGAGGAACAAGGTTAGCGTTCCAGAGTTGGTGTACTGAGATGGACAAGGACCCACCAGCTCCAGCATTCGCTCTGCCTCAATAAGATTGTTTTGCAGCATGGTGTAGTAAGTTCCGAAGAAGTTTAGTGGACCCTGCAGTTGTACAAAGTAGTTGATCAAGCTGACGAAATCGCCAACACTCTGTTCGCCCCGTGAAATCTTGTAGGCAGAGACTGCGACAAGCAAAGCAGTGCCAAGAGAGAAAATGGAACTCTGTGTAAGGTTGAGAAAGTTGAGGGACCACTGCACCAGCCGTTCCGCGCGTTGGTACACCACTACATGTTCCTTGAATCTCTCAGTTTCGGGCACAACTGCGCAATTGTGCTGCACAGTCTCGTATGCCATGATGGCGTCAGTCTTGGTAGCTTCCATCTCGCGATTCTTGGTGGCCATGTCTCTTCTTTGCTTGCCGCGATATTTGGCCACATAGATGGTCAGGAAGATGTACGACCACATGATGAAGAACACAATAATGGTGTAGAAGGCGTCATACTTGGCAAAGAAGACAACACCAGCGACAAAGATATCGAACACCATGGGGAACACTTGGAAGCAGAAGTTCTCCAGGAAGGTGTTCATCGCAGAACCGCGGCTCAGGGCACTGGTCACCTCTCCAATCTTTTTGTTCAGATGGAACTCCAGAGAAAGCCCCAACACGTGTTCGAAAGCAGCGCAGGAGAGTCTGCGGAAGAGTGACTGAGAGACCGGGATCCAGAGGACAGACCTTGCGGCACCGAGAATGCCCTGGTTGCCTTGGAGAGCACGGTAGACGACATAGAGAACAATTTGTTTGTAAGGAATGGTGCCATAGCCGAGCGAGTCGACAAGAGTTCCGAGCTGAATGGGCGCCAAAACGTTGATAGTCCGCTGACCGATCAGGAGTATGATGCAAACGACCACAATTCCTTGATATACCGGAGAGTCTTTAGGCCTGGCGCGCGATAAGTTAGCAAAGTCCGCAAAGCGGTTGAAGGCAGGGTCACTATACCATAGATACGGGAAAAGAACCCTGAACCCAGCAAAGTAGTCAAGCCATCCCGTACCCGAAACCTGGGTTCTGGCAGGAGGCTTGTGAGCAGCAGGTCCGTGGGGGTGGGTGCCGCCGTAGTTGTGAGACGCTCCGTTTCCGTTTCCATTTCCATTCCCAAGAAGGGACTGTCTCTCTTCGGGGTCCGACTTGGGTTGCAGGGGCTTCAGCTTGTAGTCTCTTAGAATGAGACAGACCATCATCGCTACCAGCACAACGATTCGAACAGCGGCCACGATATCCAGAATATCGAGAAGACCATTGTGGACGCGGAATGAGTTCTTCTCAGAAGAAAAGACGGCAGCGATGAAGGCCTCAAAGAGCGCACCTACAATCCACGCATAGAAATGCGCCGATGTTGGCGTCCATGGGCCTTCAGGGTCAGGAAGTAGGCCAGCTAGATAGTACAATAAGACGGCAACGTAGGATGCCTATGCAAGTATCAACACCAGAGTTCTTCGATGGGGTGTACTACCTGGAGACCCCACTCACCAGATAAGCACTGAACGGGAAAACGACTTTGCCAGTCCCATCGTATTGGCCAGCAATAGCGCCGTGAACGGCAAGGATGATGGTGGCAAGCTAGGACAAAAAAAAAGTGTGAGCTTTGAGGACAACTCAAGATCTGTAGACGTGTTTCCCAGACTCACGAGTAAGAGAGCGAGTATGAGCTGAAAGCCCCAGATTATCCGCGCGTACAGTCGCGAAGCTTTCTTCTGCTCATCGTCTGTCGCGGTCTGACGCGTGACGCCATGACGGTCCCGGTAGAATTGAAAGGACTGCGCCGCCAGTAAAGTGACAAAGAGGCCGCAGGGATAGAGATAGAAGGCGACCTCCAGTCCCAGCAGAGTCTCCGCCATGACTTTAGCCGTTTTTATTCAATTTGAGGGTGTGTTGAACGAGGTCAAACTCATGATGGCAGTTGGGATGATGTCAACTCCCGACGGTGCCGCAGATTCTCCGACGGACCTCCCTGGCGCAATTGGGCTGCACGGACTACAAACGGCGGGAGTTCCTCGGGCACTGAGAATGGTGCGAGAGCACGTGACACTATTTCTCGAATCAGGTAAGCTGAGCACGTGAGATGGAAGGGATGGAAATCTGACCTTACCTAATCATCTTGCGGCACAGTCAGCGTCTAGCTTCCACTGGCCTCAGCTTTGGCCGAATTCTCCAACGCCCGGCGAATTTCTCGTTAGGTTCACAAAAGGTCCGTTCATTCTCGCGCCATTCATCCATGAGTCTATGAATCAGCACCAGAATCAGCGCCGCCCATCCGATGTTTATCTACTCAACGTTGCCGTTCTTCGGGTTACGAGATCATAAGATGTGCCCCAAGCGAGCCGATTTCCCGTCAGGCTAACGCAGCACTTTCTGCCTGACCTGTCCAACTTGGTCCAAGACTTGAGGGTTCCAGAGCCGATGTCTTTGACGAAGCGATCCAAGGCCAACAACACAAAACAGCGCAATCCCCACGCCGTCTCGTGTCCATAATTTGAGATTACCGTCCGGGGGCTGTGCCCGCCCGTGTTCCCCACGCTGGATGATCGCCCTGATCGCCCTGACAGCAGTTACCATGAACTCTAGAATCCTTGGCATCGCGTCTTTCAGCAAGATGTCGGGACAGCCCGCACAAGGCGACAAACCAGGCGCATTTCAATGTCTTGGCATTGAGCTAGCCGCAAGGGACCGCACCATGATAGCTTTCTTCGAACACAATTCAAATCCCCATGTGTCTATTTCAAGCCCCTGACGATCTGTCAGTGGGAAGGACGCTTACTCGGTGATTTAGTTTCCCTCTAACGCAGAATTCGCTCGCCTAAAAGCCTAGGTGCCGGGTGCCGAAGACCGAATTCATCCCAGATCGACCATGGCTGCAGCGGCATGCCCGTGGTGCCGTATTCCCTTGGAGAGAAACACCCCGCATGCTCATGCCTTTGTTCCATATTTGTAACGCGAACCAAACCAAAGCGTTCCACGCCCGATCGGGTTGGACGGCAACTTTACGAGGCTTCTGATTGGGCTGTCGACGTCTCCAGGGATACATGGTTCACATAATTCTGTCGCGTAGTCAGACGTGGTGCAAGGAGCTAGGGCTGGGGCGACACATGTCGGTGGTCTCTAGACTTTGGCAAAGTGTCTGAAGACTGCCGGCGCCCGAAGCTCCAGGGCCCGAGAGGGTCGCTTTCTCTCCTTCGAAGCACGGGTCCCGCGGCCACGACTAACACTCATCTGGTCGGGCGAACACGACATGGACACCACGGCCTCGACATGGAGCCATCAAAACGGTGAGCACAGCCGTTCGCCCTAAACAAAGGAGGCGCTCATTTCGTTCCCTCTTTAGTGTGCTGGCGCAGCTCTTGCTACGGTCAAATTCAGGCTCCAGAGTCGTATTTCTTTTTCTTGGAATCGTTCTCCGGTTTCGATCTTCCTTGTTCACTTGATGTTTACTGTTCATTGTTTCTGTTGTTTTAATACTGCCACCTTCTCCAACCTTGACGGTGTCATACCTGGATAGATTGAAGCCATCGTCACTCTATCAAGGTCGACAAAAAGCCACCCTCGACGCCATTTTGAGAGCCGCCACAAGTCACTCGACACTTTGTTTTCTCTTCTTCCTCTGAGCATGCAACTTTGCCATATACCCCGGTCCTTGACGTCAGAAACTTCCCTTGACTTGTCTCTCCTTCCATCTCTTTGCTTGTCGCCTTCAATATAGGTGTTCTCGTACATACAAGCTAAACATCATGGCCGATCTCACAACTAGCCTGGCTACCAGGTCACTCCCGAAAATCGAGACGATCCAGAATGGACCACTGTCAGGCCTCCAGGCATATGGGTCGCTCCTCCTCGTCTCAAGCGTCATCGTCGTTGTACTCATCGCCAACATCCTCGAACGATGGCTACTGGAAAGAGTATACGGCGAGATCTATGCAGTCTTACAGCGCCCTGAGAACGAAAAGAGACGGCGCTCCTTCACGTACTACCATATCGGTGCCATCATCATGCTCACACTCTTCTGCATCGGAGTTTACCCTGTGTTCCGTTTCCTCATCGGCTCTGCCGATTTGACAACGGACGTGTCGCCAGGACCAGGAAGGCGTATCAGAGTAGGCGACCTGTTGTTTACGGTGGCGCAAACGTATAGCGCCTACTACGTCTTCGAGCTCTGTTATCGCACACAATTCGCGAGTCCTCTCAGTATCGCCCATCATATTGGACTCTTGGCCATCACGCAGACCGCCCTCTCCCTATTTGGGAACATCGAGCACCACCCGGAAGCAACAATCGAGTTCTACATGTGCATGGTGTGGGGTATGTTGACAGCACTCTGCCCGAATCTAGATAAAGCGCAACGTAAAATGTCTGACTGTTTGACCTAGGCGCTTTCGATGTCGTAGTAGAACTGCCCATCTACCTTTCTATGATCATCTGGCGAATCAAGCGCCGTGATCATCGACTACTCTCCTACCTCACCTCCGCCTGCTTCGTATGGGTTATTGTTGGTGCGATCTCGGAGACCGCAGTCACGATATACCTCTTGCACAAGTCTTGGGATCGATGGGGTCATGTGTGGAGGGTGGTCACTCCCGTCATCTTCACGCTATGGATCACGACCCAGCTTTACGGCGCAACGAGACTCTTTGCAATGGCTCGGTCAGAGAGGTGGAAAGCCAGCAAGCGATCACCGGAAGAAGAGTCTGTGGAGCCCATTGCCGAACTACCAAGAACAGTGGAAGACGGAGAAATTCCCGGACAAGAAGAATCCAAGAACAAAGCAGTATAATTGCTCCAGAGAAGCTTGAGTGCTGCGAGGCCGCCTACTCGCATTCGAACAGATCACGTCACCCACACGAGAACTGGACTATGCTATGATCATCGATGCTTGGTCGATGAAATGGTACCTCGAAAATTTTTCATCGATAGTTTTGGGGATTTACCAAGCACCAGACCTGGCAACAATTTCTGTGATCGAAGAGGAACCACGCGCGACTGACTAAAGCTTGCGGCCACTTTCTCTATTTATCGGGACTCTGGTCACCGACAACAACATCAACGATTACCAATTCCTCAATCTACGCGCTTACGTGACAGTTCAAGCAAGCTTAAAAGCCGCCATTTTTTGTTCAGCGGCCAATCTTTTTATGTTACGTGGTAGTCCGGAAGGATAGGGGCTCAGTGGGGTTTTGGATCGAGACACCTCGTTTCTGCGTGTACTGATACTCAGGGGACAGTCTTTCAAGCATAATCTCGAACCATGTGGAAAGGACCATGAAGCATTGTAGGACCTCAAGACAGGGCCTCATATTTAATCAATAATAAAAGAACAAATCGTTAAACTCATAAACCTTTCTGCCGAACTATCGTGCACGTATAAATCTGTGTTGCCTCGTTGTGGTCTCCATTGACGATTCATTGATCAACGGTCTAGACGATGTGAGATTGACTTAGCCCGGTTCCTTGCGTCTAAGACTCGGATTGTGGTTCAAACCTTCTGACAGACTCAGTCACGACTCCGTTGTTTCCCTAATCGACCCGTACTCTCTTGATAACCAACTCCCGTTCGAGGCTGTCCCTCCTTCAAGTCTTGTACTAAGCCAAAACGAAGCCGCTCACATTTCATCTTGCGCGACAGATCAATCCCATCCAGCCTTCTATAGTCTCTTGGCACATCAAAAAATCTCGAATCTCGTAACACAGTAGAAGCGTAACCAAGGATCTCTGGCCCATATGTGCAGTGCTTGAGGACGACGCTCGAGATACCAGCTGCAAGAAGCACGATACTCGCGACCAAGAAAAGCGTAACCCATAATGAGGAGATCTCAAAGTTGATCACAGGGGTACTTGTTTCTGCATCGACGGAGATCTTGGCCCTAAACGTTGGTTTATCCGCATCCCACTCCGCAATCTCGAACGAAAGCTGGCTAATCAAGAGGTAGGTATTGAGGAGCTGGCTAAGTCGAACTCCCATATCTTTGGCTGTGACACTTTCTATGATGCAGTAATCGTCGGACCTCAGTTGTCTAAGCCCTGGATCAGCGAGGTGGTAAAGCGAAAACTCGGACTTGTACGCCGTAGAGCCTCCGATGGAGAGCGGAAGCTCGCGAGAGACAAAGTCAAAGACGGCGGGGAACGATAGCTGAGATATATCCCCAGGAGCATTTTTCTTCTGAGATTTCCGCTGGGCTATCACGGTGCAGTTGTTTCTGTCGGTGCGAGCCGTGCGAGAACAGTTGACGCGGGACTCGGCGTACTCCTGAGATACCCTGCAGAGGCTCTTTGCTGAACATCCTGGGTGGTTTTCCTGAGGGGGGAATATGCTTTGGAATAGAAGAGTCGCCGGCCCAGCGTTGACATGTTGCTCATCTTTGAATAAGAGGGGCCGATGCATTTCCTCGACACGACCATGCAAAGGACCAACGACTGGTTTTGTAGGATAATCAGCAGGTTTCATCGACCATATCCGATCTACAAATCTGTCGAGCGCCAGAATCCAGGTTGAATCTAGCCCGGAGACGTTTCTTGTGTAGTCGTATCCATGCCATGTACCATTTGGCAACTTGGCGTTTCTTGTGTACCTGGTGTCTACAGCCAGAGAAGCGGCTGATAGGTCGTCGTGAAATACCTCTTCTTTCAGCAGATCGTCGGCTCCTAGATCCATCTTGAGGCTTTCAACATCCGAGCAGTCTAAGCTAATGTAGCTAGACTCTAGTGAAAATACGGTGTGTCCAACTTCGATGCTGTTGAGAGGGATCCCGGCCAAAGACGAATACTCATTCACACCGAGATCTTGATCCAAGTCCAACCAGTCATTTGTGTCTAAGCGCTTCAGGAAAGGTATTTTGACATTGCCCCAGACATCCATAGCATCCGCTTTGAGTCCTTCAGGCATTGAAATCAGGGTGTTATACAATGTCGACATGGGTCGGAAGCTCGCCATGGAGGTTGAGTATGAAAATCCCACCCAGGTCGCCCACTGTATGGCCTGACTCTCGGCGTTGGTGTCGAAGTAGGTTATCGTCGTGTTTCTGTTGTCCGGGGCGATTTGTGAGGACATCATTCTCAAAATAGATTGAGTGCCCAAAGGCGAGAGTGCCCATATCAATACCAAAGTAGCACCCACAATATTGAATGATCGAAGTTGGATCAGATTGAGTAGGGTGGCGCCGACCGTTCGGCTGCCTAGGAACTGCTCGAGAGAACCGAGGGTCGTGCCGATTTCTAGCTTCCAGCGAGCCGCTTCATATGTAAGACCACCTGCAACTGACGCAAACAGGATCGGAAAAGCAGTCGCGAGCTAGATTCGGTCGTTATTATCATCATTTGAATTACCTAGCATGTTCAGGCAAAAGGGCTGAGTACTTACGATCGTGATTGCGTTTCGCCAAGCCCCGCGGGAGCTTTCGGTACTCTCGGAACCGTCAAGGCGCCACACAATGACAATGAAGACAATGAGACCCAAGGGAAGAACCACAGCGGCGCAATCTGTTACGATGGTGAAAAAGCCCAACCTGTTGTTGGGTAAGTCAACCACTGGTACGGCGCCATCGGTGTCGTCTTCCGCAATACGGTTGTACTTCGTCGTGCCATCGGTCGAAACGCGTGGACCTGTTATCGTAGATGCCAGGTCCTCTGTTGCAGCATCTTCCGGCTCGGGTAGACATTGTTGGGCTTCAGGCTCCAGGGGGTAGTACCTGTTGGATGCCAGCGACGTACGTCGACTTGAACTTAGAGAGACTGGTTGCCCGTCTGGCCTGTGAGCCAATGGGGGTGAAGGTCTGAGATGGGAGTCTTGTTGCACCTTGTTACAAGAGGGAAATTTAGGTGTACTAATTTTCTGAGAACATTAATGTTCTGTTACCTCACCCAATGGGCCAAAGAAAAGATGATCTGAGGAGGAAATAAGTCCAGGATCATTGATAGGGACCATTTCTCATTAAGAGATTGAAGAAAGAGTTGTGCAACCATAAACAGGCGACCAGTAATATGATGATGTTCTGTTCTGAGAAGGCTACAGTCACAAACTCGATATTGGGTTGTGCCGCACTGAATGTCAGCTTACGCCCAGAGCGATCAGCGTGGTGACCTTTCGATTGTCAGAGAAGCACATGGTCTATTTACGGCTCTTCAGTATACGATCTCTTATCAAACTCGAGCTTCTGAAATACCATGTCGCTGTTGCTGTCAATGGGTAAGTGAAGTATTGTATAAGGGTCAAACTTGATTTTAGGTGACGTTTGCGTCGTGGTAAGGCTAGAAGCAGTACACCGCCTCGTTAAATCCTACACGTTGGTTATTACTTGAACCCATCGTAACGGAAACTCAAGTCGTTTGTAAGACTGTCCTGTCTTGTCTAGCTACTCGCATCAAGGTTTCTGCTTTGAGGCCGGTAAACTTCCATGTATGAGGTGTCCTTCAGCGGGCAGAGGAGTAGGATGTGCAGGTAATACTTGACATCCTAATTCGTGACATGCATAAGAAAGACCTGGGTTTCCTGAGTGGGTAGTCACATACGCCGACTTGCTTAGATCAAACATCGCGGATTACATCGATAGGAAAACTATCCGAAAGTGTGTTGAGGAACATGAGTTGGTAACCAATAACTGTTGTGACAAGGTGCACGACAGACAAAGTGTCCAGGATTGGCCCCGAGATGCATTACTTAAAATGAGTGACATCTGGCTGTGACCAGCCTCTCCCAGATTGGCGAGAATATGGGCGACATCAACGAAGTAAGGTAATGTACTTGACCCTCAAGCGAGCCCGCTGACTCCCGTCTTTTACTCCACAACACAAGTTCAAACGTATTCTCTAACCTGCATGTCGAATTTAGAATGTCTAGGTATCTGCTTGAATAGTTCGGTAGCGTTGTTTGAGCCAACTCCGACATGGACAATAGTACTCATGCGACCGACAGAGGGGAGCTGAAAGTTGACCAAGGCCTGGCGTGCATGCGCCGCACCAGCCCTTTCAGCTAGGAGAAATCAAGGTATGCCAACTTGACGCAAGAAGTGAGGCGGGTTTTTCGCCCCTTCCACGTCATCTGTCTGAGTTGCCTTGAATGCCTGAGATAACTAGGCAGACAAGCCCCCAAGTGCATAGCCACAGGGCGATGAGACCGAGGTAGCCCATCTGATAAGCATTTATCGCGATCTTTCTATGCAGCTGCACTGCAAGTTTTGAATAGATCCGGCCACACTTACTGCTAGTGTACTCGACTTCGAACTTTCCAACCCAGATTGATAAGCGCGTGAATCCTATTCGTTGCAGACATCAATTGTGGAAGCTTTTCCTACCCACCCACTTGTCCTTTTGCTCACGTCTAGCCTCTGCATTATGGTTGTTTCCGCAGGTGTCCAAGATTTGAGGCTTGAGTCACTATGGCTTGCTGTTACCTACCCCTGGTCGTAAACGATAGCCGCCTGATTCCAAGCAAATGGGTCGCAAATGGGGCCATTGACCTTAAAGCACACTCATTTCCCAGTTCTTGGTCCTCATGCCTGGTTGAAGCTTATGGTCTCATCATATTTCATCATTTATTTCAGCCCTCTTCATCAGAACGTCGCCTGGAATTCTTCTACGCTACGGCTAATGGTCAACAACCCAGTCTCACTTACTTGCTAGCACAAGGAAGCATTCAGCTAGATGGAGACCGATTACCTGGTTAAGGGAGGATACTGTAATGGGACGCTGGAGGAGGATGTGCCCGACCCTGACGTGACGGGCTGGGGAGTAAGGTTCCATCTGAAGATTGCGCGGGATATTTGACTGACTCTAACGTTGTATAGATCGTATCTTCGTTTTGCTTTTCCATCGTAATGAACATGATCGCCATTATGGTAGCATATGTGGCAAATGCGCTACCTGAGGAACGCTACAAGTCAATAGACTGCATCGCCTACCGTCACGTGTCGCAGGCAGAGAGGCAGCGACGTATCAAAGCCTTCGAGTCGTTCATGCTATCTTTGAGCGATCAGCAACTTGTCACTGGCATGGCTCTCATGCTGGCAACGATACTGATATTCTCAGGAATGCATGACCTGGATGATAGCTTCTCGGTGTACTCGTTTCAAATCGCGACCCGACTCGGTTACTTCTCGTGCATCACGCACCTTTGTTCCCTCTCAGTGCTATGGGAATACTTTGACCGACATAATTGGCTGCGAATATTTCGAACCATTCTGATGGTGGCTTTTCTGGTCATGATGATTGGTTGCATGATCATATCAGACTCTGTGACTTTTCGATTCAATCGCCACGTTTCGGTCAAGTGTGCGAGAAAGCATTTCAAGTTGATTGATCGAGAAAGACCGAACTACGTCTTCTTCTCTGACGAATTCATTATTATCTTTAACTTATCCGTATTGACTTACATTCTTATATCTGGATATGTTCAAAGGTTTCTACAACTGTACTGCATGCCGGCCCGCGGCGAACAAGACTTTTGGCAATGTCGCTCCTTACGAGCTCTGTTTGGATCTGATACCGAGAATCGGTTCAAGAGCCTTGAAAAGAACAAAACGTTAGCGGACATCAGATCTAGTTTTCTCTGGGAGATCGTGTGGCTATTCTTCTACTTCACATTTGGGACCGCGAATCTCCTCAGATTCTTCGATGATGCCACTTTGAATATTGGAGCTATAAAACCAAATTTCGGGCAGCTCGTACCTTTATTTCTTCTGGCTCTTCCTTTGATCACAGCCACTGAAGCTTATACAAGTAAGTGACTCTATCGGTTTGTCAGACGATCCAGGCAATTGCGGTCAAATACCTGTTCACGGGACTGAACCTTTTGGCTGATTATCATAATGTGTAGCGGCCACAGAGTATGAACCAGTCTCATCCGATGTTCCTGCTGGAGATGATGTAAGTTCGCACCATAAACACATTGTGAGAAGGAGTATCGGTGTTCTAGGGCACATTGACTGACTTCGCTGACCTATCAGCTGACACCAGAGCTGGGATATGAGGATCCGAACCAACCTACACGAGGAATATGGGATTACTGGCCCTTGTCCTTGTTAATGATATATGCAACCGGGCTTGTACTTTGGGCTCTTATCTTTGCAGATGTTATACCCCATAGCTTTTTTCTCTCCATTGCAGCATGGATCGTTGCATTTCTGGTAGAGGTTGCAAGCTTTCGGAGCTGGTTCAGGGTCGCATTTTGCGCTCTATGGACAACTTTGGGAAATCGATGGCTGAACACGAGAGCCTTCTTCAATCGGCTGAAGGAAAAGCTTTCGAATCTTTCCAATTCCCCGTCATAGATAGAGGAACCATAAAACCATTGTTCTCCTGAAGCACAATGTTCCACAGCATACGTTCTGTAGACTGAAAGAGAACGTCGATATCTCTTCCCGCACCAAGTCAAAGCTTCGAGGTTCTTATTTTGTCCACTTGACACGAGTCTTTTCTTTATGAACTCGTGGGCATTGCTGCACTGAGTGCTCCACGGAGAAGTCAAACATGAACAAGCTCGCTACGAGAAGCCCCCCCCCCCCCTTGGAATATACGGAGGCTCAAACCCACCATTTAGGGCTTAATTTACTAAGCGTATCATGGATCCTTGGCCGCAGTATAAGATCATCACTGAGCTAGGGGAACACTCCTAAATGCCCATTGGTAAAACCCAAGATTGAATTCGACGTGGGTGAGATGCATGACACCAATGAGGGTATCACCTAGGCTATGTCTACGCTGATAAATGCTACAGAGATGTGTACAAATGTCTATGCTACAGTGATATTCTTCGTCTATGTTATGACCTTAACTCTTGCACCAAGATCACTCCGTGTTTACCTTATTCAACAAGGCTGTGAAAGCCAGAATCGAACCTAACTGGAAACTTCTTTCTTCCCTTGGCATCCGAGCTGACGAAACAAGCCATCTTGTTCTTCGGACAGTAGAAAGAGCCTATGCCGTTTTCATCAATCGTAACCGCAGCCGATTCCATTCCGAGAACATCGGTCCAGACCTCCCCGGCGTGGTTGGCACCAACTGACATTGACAACCGAGTGTCAGTATATTCAGCCTGTGTCCAGCTCATGACGACGGCCATGCCGGCTGGTCTGTCTTCCGTTCCGCGCCTGATCCATCCAATACAGTCGGACCGCTCGAAGTAATCTTGTTGCTCCCCGTAAGCATAAAGCTTCCTGGCCAGAAGAAGGTTGGGAAGATCTTGGATTGGCGCTTCGGGATGGGTGAGCTCAATGCCGTACAGATCACCAAAGAAGACACATGGGTGACCATCGCGTCTGAGAAGGATCATGGAGTAGGCAAAGGGCATGAACTCCTTGCAGATTGGGGTGTCCATCTGTTGACCTTTCTGAGTGTCGTGATTACGAATGAAAGTCTACAAATCATTAGCAAGTCGTTCAACTTTTCAGAAAATGGACAAACTTACGACAGCGTTGTTAGGTCGTTGTTCAACTAGCGTGTCCTTGAACACCTGCCTCAAGTCCGTGTCTCGGTGCCATGACAATCTTTCTATGTGATACATCAGAGGCACGTCGTAGAGACTGAAGAATGCTGGCATGTGCTCCAACCAATTATTCAAGACGCGCACATCACCATGCCAGAACTCTCCAATAAACATGAGATCATTGCGGATGGCTGGCTTCCTCAAGTGCTCAGCCCATTTGCTGATGAATTTCCATGAGATGTGCTGTACGGCGTCCACGCGGAAGCCTTTGAGACCGAGCTCATCCACAATCCACTTGCCCCACTGATGCTGCTCTTTGACGACCTCAGGGTTGGTGTAGTCGAGGTTTTCGAGCATCAAGTAGTCGGCATTTCCTTGGAGGTCGCCGACGTCTTGATGCCAGTTCTTCCCATCTTCTACAAACCTGTAGATGGCACGTTTCTTGTTCTGTTGGTTCCAGTCCGTACCGTTGAAATGCGACTTGTTGTATTTGAACTTGCTGTACTTGCCCCCTCTAGCATTGTAGTCAAATTTGGTCCATGACTCAATTTCATAGACGTCTGTGGTGTCTCTTCGTCTATCTGAAATACGGGTAAGCAGATGAGAACCAGGAGTGCTATGAGCCGATGGGTGAAAGCTTACCACGCGGATCAACTTCGACCACCTTTACCATCTCAGTGCCGTCAGCGTAGGCGCGGTGGTTGTGAATAGCGTCCCAGACCAGCCCAATGCCGTGGTGCTCCGCATCCGCCGCTAGAGACGCAAGGTCTCCCTTCGTCCCCCATTTGGTGGGGACTGAGCCCTTTTGGTCAAACTCTCCTAGATCCCAGGCGTCGTAAATGTCGTAGCCGTTACTTTCGGGATCCTTGGCTTTGCTTCCGGGCGGCAGCCATAGGCTGTTCACACCAACGGACCTCAGTGCCGGCAGCGCGCGCCGGAGCCGTCGCCAGTGCTTGTGGTCGGCGGGCAAATTCCACTCAAAGGCCTGCAACTGCACCGGGTTTTGAGATCTCTCCGGGCGAGGCAATTGGTGATGGGATTTGCTTCGCGGAAGGGACTCTGTCGGTCTAACCTCCACACGGGAAGAAAGCTGGTGAAATGACTTGCTCCTCGGCAAGGCCTCTTTGGCTCTAACTTCAATAGCTCGGGGTTCTGTAGTTCTGATGCGAACCTCAATTGGCTGGCCAGTGCTCGGCCGTGAAGCCGTGGTTGGGTTTCTCATTTTGATCTAAGGTAATACAGTGATAAAAGCTGAGGGAAAAGTCAAGAAATGAATGATGTGTCGTCATGTACACGGCTTGGTGGTCGGACATGTCTCTTTATCTATGCGCACACGCAATCCTAAAGAAGCGCGAAGTCAAGGTCGCGACTGCGTATCCGGACTTGTCTCCTGGCGCCTTGTACTCCGTACGGTGGCTTGCGCTTCAAGGTTTAATGTCCCCAGAAAGATCAAATCTCAATGTCCGAACCGTCTCAACCCAACACTCTAACCCGGGGCTGAAAGCTCGACCAATGATTGCCAATGATGGTTCCAAAGGGTCCAGAGAGGCATGGACATTGTCAGCTCACGTGTCTCACACATCAGCCGTTCCAGAATTACAATGCGTGGTGATGTTTGGTGAGTCGTCTGGGGGCTGTACGCTTCGCGTTCGCATTCACGAGTCGCATCCGTTCTCGAATGCGAGATTTGATACGAGCGGGTCCTACTTAACCCTTCCCCCAAAACAAAAAAACTTGACCCCCTTCCAAGAACCCAGCCACGGAACGAGTCGGGCCAACATAGTGAGCAATGCGGCCATTGACAGCGTACTGAGTACGCAGACGGAGACCAGCACGGTCACCGCCATGGCATTTTTGGCGCATTGAGGTGCCAAGTAGCGGCACCGCTTGACACCAGGAACAGTAGGCAGCCAGGACGGGCTGAACGGGTTGTCGGGACTCACGAGTGTCGCAGACGGGGCCAAGACGATCATCAAATTACCGATAGCGAGATTGGCCCGAGCATAAACTGACAACGTAGAGACCCCTAAAATCTCTTAACGCGAAAGCGACCTTAAATTTGCATTGTCGTTACTTGAGCACAGCCGGGAGGCTTACGTGAACGGTAGAGTGTCAAGTCTAATGAGCAGAATAACCTTGCTAATTTCAAATAATGCAAAGAGATAATACAAAATAACCCGGAGATGGGTCGGCAGCTATCCGGGCCGCGCTGATCGATGTGGTGTGGGCTGTCGCTGCCAACTACGCATCCGCGAGTGTTTGGTAAAATTCCACGTGTCGTGCGCATAGAGTTCTGGGGTTATCCTTTTGCATTGCAGCAATAAGTCGCAAATATTGTTTGCATCCGGCTCAGGATACACCATCAAGGTGGTAACCTACTGATCTAGGTACTGAGTATACAAGCGTATCTACCCGGACGGACTAATACTGCAAATAATCAGACGTATCTCACACAAGTACGACATAAGGTAGTTATTTCAGGCAGATTTGATGATATTGAATATGACTGTGACGCTATGCTGCATGTTTTAAGCTTCAGACCAAATCTAACGGTTGCATGTTGACCCAGACCATCTAGATCGTCTCTTCAACCCCTGCGACCGGCGAAATAACACCTCAGTGTGATCTCATCTCGTCAGGCTCCCGAACAATGCGAGAGCCTGCTCGGGTCTCCAGCACAGGAACCTCGATGTTCCAGCCTGCAGAAGCCAGTCTCCTCGCGTACAGCTCGTACTTTTCGTTGGCGATTTGCAAACTTTCTTCCACGTGGCCCAACATTGCTTGTTGATCGAATTCAGCTCGCACCAAGTTCGCCTCTTCCTGCCCGCTCAGTTTTCTGGCCAGCAACAGACCATGGAACCAAGCTTTCAGCTGTGACCTCGGCGTCACGCCTTCTTTCAGAACAACAATAACCTTGATTCTGGAGGCCGCGTCGTTGGCCGCGGTCGACACCTGGCACCAGAGAACGTACTCCTCGCGGTCGAATACGTCCATGAGTGTATACAAGTCGACGCTTGAAAGCTGGAAAGACATCTCGTGGGTCTTCCCATAGGCCAAAGCTTCAAGCAAGGTCTTGAGGGGCACTCCGTACTTGCAGTGGCCAAACACTGGCCCGGAGTTCCAGCGAAAGACTTCTCCCCTTCGCTTCTCGAAGATGAGTTCTCTTTGGGAAACTTTCAGTGGTGTGAGGACTTCGTCTTTCGAAAATAATGCCGACAGAGCAATATTGGTGCGTTGCCGATTTAGCTGACGTGAGTGTACTGCTCGAACGCCCCTCCAATTGAGAAGGAGGTGAACGCCAAGGAGGACAAAGAGAACGATCCATGATAATGTTTCGTCGGTTAGAAAATATAATAAAAACGTTCCCGTCTATGCATCTGTTAGTAAAAATCGAAGTTTAAGGTTTAGATGCATCTTGTTGCTGACTTACAAGCATTCCTATCAGAGAAATGGCTGTCTCCTGGCTGGCATCTTTCTGTGTACTGTTAGCAACTCTGATCCTGCATACGTCTCCACTGTGCCAAGTCCTGGTACTTACAGCATTAAGCTCGCCGAGATTGTTCCACTTGGCAAAGTGACCACTGAGACTGCTTTTTGATGCGTTCCCAACGACGCCAGATGCGGAGTATAGGATGCTGGAGAGGCAGAGAACCAGAAACCTGGCTTCTTGCGGAAAATAAGGAGACGCGCAGTCGAGAACCATCGCTGTGTCGGTCAATAGATCACAGGCCATGCGGTATGCCTTACATTCTGCTTCAATCGAAGTCGCAAACAGGTGTGCAAATGTGATGGTTGCGAGCCTTCCCATGGACTCTCTAGTGACTTGGATGAGCATAGCCCCAGTCGGTGATGCTAATGAGTCTCCGACACCCAGCCCTGTGGGTGTAGTCAGCACACAGTAATAGAGAGCGAACTGGTAAGGGGAGGGTAAGATTAGCCGGGACAACGCAGCGGAGTTCTTACCTTGCCAAACAGCACGCGACGAAATCATGCCGGCAATCGTGCCAGCAAAAGCTTGAAGGGAGTCCTACTCAGGGTAAGCTAGACTGGATACCTCTTGGTTTGAATCGGTGTTTGCTCACATAAATCTGATATTCAGCATAGTCGTCTGTAACGCTATGCGGATAGCCATCCGGCAAGAAGATTTCGAGAAGCTCTTGCCAAGGCTTCTTTCTTTTGGGAGGGAGCTATGCGAACGAGTGTCAAATCACATGCAGACTCTCCGCTGTCTTACATCAAGACATCGAAAGAGGGAGGGGTACCAGGGGTCCTCCATGTTGTTTGCTGAGCTTACCGTGAGATCGACCCTAGATGATCCGGCAGTCGGAGCCGACTCGACATACTTGGTCTTCAGAGCGCCGGCTTTGTCATATTCGGCAAGGACCAGAAAGCCTGATCTCTTCCTTAGCATCGTCGGCGTCTCTAGGACGGTTTGCGTCGAGCGCGTTGACATGGTCTAGCGCGCTCTTAGGAGGTTGTAGATCAGAGGCCGGTTTGATTCGAACTTTCAAGATTTGGAAAGAAAAGATGATCTATGTCCCCTTTTTGCGAGTGAAGAAAGATTAGATTGAGAGAAGATCAAAGAGGTTCGAGTTGAATGACGCACAGGAAGAACTGAGCATGGAAGAAATTTGGCAGAGGTCTTTCCCCGGTTGGGTAAGAAGAGAAACGGATACGGGGATACGAAAAGTAATGCAGCAATTTTCGCGCGCGCGTGAGGACCGTTTTGGTTCGTTGCCATCAGCGGCGATCAACAAACACAGTGGACACGGCCATTAATGACTCTCTGCGAAACTTTCCGGGCTGTGCAGCCGCCGCGTCCTTCTCTGGCACCCTGGAGGGGTCAAACATGTTCGATGATCTGTCATTGTTCCCGCTCTGCCCTATGTTGACAAGTCGCTGTCAGGACTGGGTGTCATGGAAGCGGAGCGCAGATGCGCGTCTGTGTGGGATCTGCATGGGCCGCTGGGGGCAAAACAATAGACTCTCAACCGCAGAGTGCTTCAGAACATTGAACCACTTTCAACCCGCCCCTCTGTAGATCGTTTCAAAAGATGGGATTTTTCGTCAGATTGCGGGCTTGCTCGAAAAAAGCGGACATACCGTCAGCAACGGAACGCTGATCAGCTCGGGCCTAATACGAATGACACGAAAAGTCAGCGACGAACCACCCACGGCAAACCTGTCGCGAAATATGGGATGAAGTGCTTCTAAAGACGTTCCGGCAGCGGTTCATTCCGGCGGGGAGGGCGACGTAAGCCTATGGATGCAGACAGCGATTCAGCTGCCTCTTTCCGCGTATTTGTCTTGTTCTACCCTAAGGGCTGCGCTTGAGGTTGAGAAAGTTCCAACTCTGGCTCCGGCTTCGGTCTCGCCACTCAAGTGATGTAGAAAACCTTCGCCGGGATCATAGTTCTCCTATGGCGGCTTCGATCGCACTCAAGTGGTTGAAGTTGTGAGTTGTCAGCGCCGTGAACTGAAATATCAAGCTGCCAAAAGGCAACAACCGTTTGCCGCTTCGGTGAGTTTGATTACCGGGTGACAGAACTTAGTTCTCGCCAAAAGCGCATTTCTCTCCGCTATCATGCATCATGAGGCGCAGTGACCGTTGTGTTGAGACCCATCAATTGGACGGTTTGTCTTGAATATGGAAAACTCTAGTATTCGTATTCTGCACGATGCTAACTTGCCTATTTAGGAAACGGTTCCCATACAAACAATAAAGGTGGAAAACAATCCACTTCATCTTGAGTATTGACTCAAACACTCTTTTCCCATGTTGACCACGTTGAACGACCCGCTTGTCTGGTTAGCTACACTTAGGCGTCTTAGATCGGCTGTCGAGGTCCATGTGTAGAATCAGTCAGTATCAACTCGCGACATCCCACACAGCGAACTATACGAGTACTATACTTGCCGATTTTGGAAATATCGCATGGGACTTGAGTGCCGAAAAGCTTGTATCCGGATGGGAACGTTGGCGACTCATGAGCATGCTACCTTGTTCCTTGTACGATTTAAAGCTACACCTCCAAGCCGGCAAGCCCACAATATCTTCATCCCACCGGGCCGGAAGAAAGTGAGGCAACGGGAGTCCCGCCGGCACGCGGCATGTAACGCTACTCTATTTCGATCTCGTTCGCCCCGACACCTCTTGCTGCCATGCTAGCTGATACCGTGTTCCGGCGTCCGTGTCTCCTAGGCAAGTAGATGAGGAACCAA